AAAAACTCTATGACGCAGAGCATCAACAGCAAAGCAGACAAGAAAGCAGAACAGTACAAATTTAACTCAAAGTCCGGGTGATGGATATGTCTTATGCTGGTGCCCAGAGCTTACAAAACTTTGTGCCAAACATAACACAACAGCAAGAAAATTTCAAAACCACCACACACACATACAAAAAAAGCCTCATCCTGATAAATGGCACAATTTGGAAAGCAGATACAAACAACTTCAACAGGTAATTCCAACTAATTTATTCTGATGTTTAATTTTCTTTGGTCAATATCACAAAACAGCCTAGAACTGCATGGCAGCACAAGTACAGGCAAATAAGTAATTAAAAGATGGCAATAGCAATTGCAATTAGACTTATATACTGCTTCATAGGGCTTTACAGCACTCTCCAGGGGGTTTACAGAATCAGCATATTGTCCCCAATAATCTGGGTCCTCGTTCTACCAACTTCAGAAGCATGGAAGGCTGAGTCAACCTTGAGCCCATCAGGATCAAACGCCTGGCTCTGGGCAGAATTAGTCCGCAATACTGCATTCTAACCAATGCACCACTTTTCTTAACTAAGTATTCAGGAGCAAAGTAAAGTAAGTTCATTTCATCAAATAACATAAGCCTTGCTAACTGAATTTCCACTCATTTAGATGAATCTGCTTGAAGATCATTGTTGTTAACTTGGTCACTTACTAGCTCCAGGCTGTTTCTTTTCTTTTAAAAAATTTGTCTCATTTTTCTCTCTCTTTATTTTTTCCTTTTGTTTTTACCTGTGGAAATTGTAACTGTGACTTCTGTGAACTTTCCTGGCAATAGATATTTCCCTTCAGATTATTCTGGAACAATAATGCACCAGCAGAAAGTGCTGGTAAACATTAAAATCAGTTCTCCATTTGTAGTCTCCAGAAAGAGATTCCACCCCAATATTATCTGAGTGTGGACCCCAGCAGCTATAAATGGGAGCACTGAAAAAGCATAGTCTTCTTGATTTCTTCCTGTATTTATTTCTTCTCAGAATAGAAGATTGAAATGAAAAATGATGAGCTTCATTTAGTTCATTATGAAATACATGCAGATTTATTAAAAAGTAATATAATTTCTTATATCAGTCTTCCCCAGTTTGAGGTCTTCCAGATATATTTGCTGCTTAGAAATTATTACTGTTTGAATATTTAAAGTGCTCTGGGAAAGCTTTCAATTTAAAGAATAGCTATCAATTTTATATAATAATCACAGTAATAAGATAAATCCCAAACATTCTCAGATAGCTTAATTGTAGAATTACCACATCTGGAGAGCACCAAGTAGAGAAAGTTTCCCTTTACTGTGATGATTATGAATTTCCACAAGGATCTTCCCTGAACCAATCAAGGCAGTCCATTGAAACTCACCTGCAGGTGCTACTTTTCTGCATGACGTCAGCTCGATGGTATCCAGAGAGTTTACAGAAACCGTCATTACTATAAACTACAGGCCAGTCCACAATCTGAGCATTGCCCAATAAAAAACTTGACTCTAAGGTGAAACAAAACAAAACAACATTAATTCCTCATATAAAGAAATTTTCCAATTATGAAGGTAACATTCTACAACAGTGTTTCTTAACCCTAGCTTCTTTAAGATGTGTGAACTTCAGCCTAAAGTTGCAGAGGTAGAGAAATACTGCTCTAGATCATTGTTTTTGACTACCATTACATAGTAACTGAAAATAGTGCTATAAAAAGTGAAATAGCAATAGGACTTAGACTTATATACCTCTTCATAGTGCTTTACAGCCCTATCTAAGTGGTTTACAAATGTCAGCATGTTGCCCCCAACAATCCCTGTCCTCATTTTACCGACATTGGAAGGATGAAAGGATGAATCAATCTTGAGCCGATCAGGATCAAACTGTTGGCAGTCAACAGAATTAGCCTACAATACTGCATTCTAACCACTGCGCCACCACATTTTCCATGATAAAATATCACAACACGGAATGCTTATGTTCAGAGTTCAAGCAAGCTGCTGTGTACTCCCTTCCCTTCTCACTTCATTTTTCCATTCCCATCTCTATCAGCCCATCAAATTTTTTTGTCCCTGAAGATGCTGTTTTAGGGTTTAATTCCTTTTGGGGGGGTTTTAAAACTTAGTTTGCTTATCCTTTTTATGTATGGAAAAGGCCATTTGGACTATACATGGAGTAATATTTAACAGATAGGTTTGTTATCAATCCATTCTGTTGGCTAATATTAAGATCACTGTGAATATAGGTATGAACTATGAAGTAACTGTTCCCAGACTGTTATATTAATCTTATCTTAGAGGATAAGATTAATATAACAGTTTTGAAGAATGAAATAAAATGAGGCAACAACAGAAAAAAATAAAACATTCCTGATTGATCACTCGATTATGTGCCATCAAGTTGACCACATAACCTGATCCTTCAAATCTTCCAGTGGTGTACCCATCATTATTGTAATTCAGTCCATCCATCCTCAGGGGCTGCCACAAAGAAGAGGGAGTCAAGCTATTTTCCAAGGCATCTGAGGGCAGGACAAGAAGCAACGGATGGAAACTAATCAAGGAGAGAAGCAACCTGGAACTAAGGAGAAACTTCCTGACAGTTAGAACAATTAACCAGTGGAACAACCTGCCTCCAGAAGTGGTGAATGCTCCAACACTGGAAGTTTTTAAGAAGAGACTGGACAGTCATTTGTCTGAAATGGTATAGGGTTTCCTGCCTGAGCAGGGGGTTGGACTAGATGACCTCCAGGGTACCTTCCAACTTTATTATTATTATTATCCAGCTACTTTTCTTCTGTTTTTTTCTACTGTTCCCACTCTTAGAGCCTTTTCCAGAAAACTAGGTCTCTGTATAATGTGTCTGAAGTAGGGTAATCAACAAAATAATTTGAAGGTAACAAGGAAGACATAGAAACATGCTGTCTAGCTAAATCTCTGGGTCAAGAAGCCCTTGTTCTGAGAAATGAAATGGTCTCATGAGCTGTTGGGATGGAGCAGCCTGTCTTTTCTATTATTTAAAACTCTACTATATGAATGAATAGGGAAGAAATGAGAATGGGAAATGTGTGCAAATATAAATGGCTCTTAATTCCTTAACCAAATGCAGTTGGGACAGGGCCTTCTGTGTTTTGGTCTCTTCCATTGAAGAACTTTGCTCTGGAAAATTCCCAGGGACAATGTCCCTTGGCTGATTTTAGGAAGCAGGACTTGGATGTTTCTTCCCTAAGTTTTCTTCTAATGTTTGAAGCATAGCCAGCTGTTCTCCTTTTTGCTTCATTTTGCATTTCCTGTCTATTTTTAAACTGTTGCTTTTTACTGAGATTTAATTAGTCATTTTTAAAATGTTGGTCTTTTGTTAGCTGCCCTCAGAGACTCTTGGGAAAAAAGAAAAAAGCAGCTAGTGTGTGAAATTAGAATAAATGAATAAAATAAAAAAGTAACTACGTCAGATCATCAGTAAAGGGAAGTCCAGGGGGAGAGTCCTGCTTCTAGAAAGATGCACTGGTTTGAACTAATTAAACCAGCCCTGTTTTATGTTTTGTCCTTTGTTTCTTTCTCTCAATATATAGCAGAACAAAGCATCTATATATTCAGACTTAGCAATGAAGGTACCTAGGCTTTAGATTTCATACTCCCTGCTTTCCATTCAGACATATTTGTCTATGTCCTCTTATTGGAGAGACCAATACATACAAGAATTCTTTCTTGTTTCAAGAAAAGATGGGTTATGCTTGTCAAAATGGTCCTTACACACAGTTTTTGCACTGAAATTCAATTTTGCACTGAACTAGGTCCAATAGTTGCTTTTCTCAGATACTTCTTAAACCTTTGGATATGGGGTGTAGCCAGAGATTTGCCTATAGCAGTTCTAACTACCTTAACACCTTCCCTGTGTTAGCAATTTTCATCCCAACACATCAGGCTGGGGAAGGCTAAATTGCCCTCTACTGATGTATAAATTAGAGAACAAATAATATCTTAAATAAGATTGAGAAAGCATGCTGAATATGATTTATGGAATTCTTACCAGACCCTTAGCAATAACTCTGCTTTGAAGGTCCTGTGACCAAAAGGGAGGGTGAGCTGACAGTGGCAGAATCAGCAACATTCCAAGCCACTGCCCAACTCCTTCTCCCGTAAGGATGCTCTGGAAAAATATTTCGAGAATTTTATTTTCTATAGTTTTCAGTTGGATCTGGTCCATTTTCAAACTCTATCTTCCTTTTACCAGCTTCTCCCCCCCCCAGCAATTTTGGTCCATTCTTTTCCTGAGGATGTGCAGTAGATATGGAAACTTCCAAGGCTCTTTACGATTTCCCCACCCCCCATATTCTCTTGGGTTGGAAATAATAAAAAGGGCTTGAAAAATCTAACTAAGCATTCCATAAGCTGGATGCCTTCCAGGTTTTGGTTCACAGTATCCAGAATTCCAGAGCCAGTGTAGCCCTGCTGAGATTTCCGAAAGGTACGTCGACACACCTAGCAAGTGTTGAGGCTTCATTAGATTGATTTAGTTCTTCCATTTTCAAGAGAACTAGTCTGGATGCACACTAGTAATTATCAATACCAGCTCATTCTTTTAAAAGATGAAGTAAGAGAAGAAATAAGTCCACTGGAAATCAGCTAGAAAGAAAAATCAACATTTAGGAAGTGTCTGAATAGAAGTGCTTTGAAATATTGGCTCCCAGAAGTCATTTCCTTAAAATATAGTGGTTTGTACAATATTAATTCTTTTTCTACTAATTTGTTCTGCCTTCAGCTATAGGGAAGAAGCTATAGACTGTTGCCTTGCCTCCTCCCAAAATGCTAGAAATGATGTTTTATAAAGAACTAATAACATGTTAAAGGCATTGTTCATTGAGAAAAAGGGTAGATCACTGCCTGCTTCTCTTCAATTATCCTTGAAATGAGACACAGAAGCCCCCTAGGTGTCAGGCTGAAACTCCATCACCACAATTAGTTTTATTTTTTAAAAAGGGCATAAACAAAATTGTACCACTATTTGCTAAAATGTTCACGAGGGTCCAAAACCTTTAGGAATTCCTCTGACCCTTCAGAATATTACTCCCAATGCACACTATTTTCATGATTAAAAAATGACCTACAAATTACAAGGGCAATTTCAATAGAGAAAGTCAGACTATCTGGTATTCAGAAGCATTATATTTGTCATGCTGAATAGTCTTTTATGGACCAACTAAGCTTCCATGAATTGGCTTAAAAAAACATCACGATGGTTGCTGATGGATTCATGTACATAAAACATTGGAGAAGTGTTAGCTAGGTCCACCTCCTCTTCTGCATAGTGTCTCCCAATCCATTAATCGGGACACACAGGCAAATGGTGGGAAATTTGCTGCATGTACTGTATGTGGATTCATGTTTTAGAACAGGGGCTCTCAGCTTTCAAAGCCTAGAACCTTTCCAATGTTGCTGTCAAATTGAAAATATTACTGTGATGATCAGGGGAAGCTGTTTAATATGGAAAGTAACAACAACCACATTCAGTTCATCAACCATATCCTGGTCTAACCTATTCCCCTTCCCCCTGCACCAGCTTCACAATGTTTTACATGAACATGTCCATGAAAGCATCAGGAACCAAGTTCAGTTCAAAGGTGACTTGACTGTTCCATGCCCTACAGCTCAAAGTGTGACAAAAATTGCAAATCCATCATTCAAAACTAGCTTGTGTCAAACTTTAAACCATGCAGGCAGGAGTCTGAAAGCATAATAGATTCTGTAGACCTTCACCTTGCAGGGCATGATGGAAACACGACCAAAGGTTGGGATGTAACAATAGAGGCGAGACCCTGCTGTAAAGCCTTGCTGTCTGTCTTACTGTGTGAGAAAAACAAGGGCTGAAAAGAGCTCTGAATTAAATGCCATTCTCACTTTTTGTAACAATAAATTCCAATCAGTAATTACAGCTTATTTCCCTGTCGTACATTTTCTGCCAGTCAGTTTTACTACATATTTATTGACTTGATTTGTCTCTCATCATCTGACAAGGACTCTCAAGGCAGCAAAAACCAACAAAGTAAAACATCAGGAAGAGGAACAAAATAAAATGTGCAAAATCTAATTGAACATGATCCCATGATCCTTCCTGAACCACATGCCCTCCAGAAGTATCCCAGAATTCAAAAATAATAGCAGCAAATTCCTTAGGGATTCTGAGCGTCCTTCAGTCTAATATCAGTAACACTTGATCTTTAAGATCAGCTTGAGATTGCCAGATTCAAACTTTTATTGCAGCTTTCCCTAATTGAAGGTCCTCTTTTGGAATTGGATCCTGGGTAAGGATGATGGAATTTGAAGTCCAACACCTCTGGAGGACTGTGGAGGATAATTAATATGAGCTATAATGATACTCTACAGACTACAATTCATAAGATATTTGCTTTATTGTAGAACTATCTATACAGTATTATGGTTGTATATCCATGACAATGGATACAATGCTAATAAGCAGTCTCAGTTCTATTTGGGCAGTAT